TTGCGGGTCTCGTCCCGGCATCGAAAGGAAAAGCCAAAAATTGGCCTTGCCCCGAGCTGAGCTGCTTGCTTCTCCTGAAGCTTGGGAAGGAAGGGGACTACAGAGGGGCCGTCCTCGCATTTCATGTTTCGTCAGCCCGACAGCATTTTGGCTTTGATTCCATCTTGCTGCTACCTGTTCCTGGACAGTGGCGGGGGGGGGGAAAAACACCGTCCCACCATGTCTCGTTACAGCCTCCATAATCTCCTGGACTGGATGTATGGGGGTGTGGACCCCAGCTTTGCTGGCAATGGAGGGCCAGAATGCGCGGCCTTTCTCTCTGGGCAGCAGCGCTTTCTGGAGAGTTTGGTCTTCCTGAGTGTGGGCATTGTGGAGATCCTTCTGTCCCTGTGGAAGCTCAGGCAGCTGCATTTCAGGGAGCTGGAGGGTCATCTGCTGCAGCAGCCCCAGACTAAGCAGGAGAGCTTGGGCAAGAATGTGCTGCTGGTGGTGCTCTGTCTCATCTTTGGGCTGGAGGTGGGGTTCAAGTTTGCCACCAGGACTGTCATTTACCTCCTGAATCCCTGTCATGTGGTCACTATGATGCAGGTAAGGCTCGTGTACAGTCACCAGGAAGTTTGCTTTAGTTTTACACTTGCAAAGCAGTATTTTTCCTGTGGTCGGTTTGTGGACCAAAAGTGCATAGAAAAAGTACAAATGCCAAGAATTGGTATAAACTTTTTAAAACTGACTTAGTTTTCAATCAGCTGAATTGAAATCTATGAAAAAAACAGGTCAAATGAAAAGGTAAAATTGTAGCTATGACTAATGTCCAAATCTCTGGTTGAAAATGCAAAAAATTTAGGCTGTCTCGCCACTTACTTTCACCTAATCCTTGTTTAGAGAATAGAAAATGCTGTTTCCACTGACAGCAGTCGTAAAATTTGCACCAAATTTAGTGAAAACAAGATTATTGATTATTGCTAAAGCGGCTATGTAATTTACATGCAACTTTTTCAAGCAAGTGACTTTTAGGGGTGTGAATGTATTTTGTGAAGGTGTTGAAGAAACAAATTACTCTTTATTTTGTGTAGACAATGTTGGTTTACCTTTCTAATTTTAGAAGCTGAATAGTAAGGAAACAAGTGTTACCCGTGTCTCCTACATGGGGTGAACACACCGATCTGGCTTAATACCTGTGGATAAACTATGTGATTTAATGAGTTGTGGCTTGATTGTCGATGCATGATAATGTGCAATTTGTGTAGCTTCCAAAATAATGGAAACATTCATAAACAGTTACTGAACTGCAATATCGAAAGCTTACAAGCTGTATTTGTCAATAGTCTTGTGCATGAACTTCACTGTCAGTTGCACTGAACTTGGTGGGGAGTGTGGGAGATGTCAAAAATTATTATTATTTTGTTTAATTTTGCTAATAGTGTACCCTCAACACTGGACAACTTACAAAATTTAAGCTCAAGAATTAATAGAAGAATGCCAAAAAGGCTTTCATAAAAGCTGCCATGATAACAACATCTGTCTAAGATCAGTAACAGATGAAAATCAGACCAGTGCCACTCTTAGTCTCCTTTTGCAGAATGCTGAGTGATCTGGGCTGTATCAGATCAAGCCAGTTGTTAGTTTCACTCCTGACGAGCATTTCCTGACAGGAATGGAAACATCTTTTCTTCTTGTACTGGAGGTTTGAGGGAGCGGGTGTTGTTTCAAGAGGGGAGAAACAAGCTCTTACAGCAATATTCAAGACCTTTACAGCAATTAACTTACAGTTCCAGAACTTAATTAGTAGGTTATGTAAATACCTAAGCAGTGATGCAATGTTAGCTCAGTATTTTACACCATAGGACACTTGCCTCCCATGAAGTGGTAACAATTGCTGTGCAATCAATTAGTCAGTATTGGTAATGAAAGGGAAAGTAGAAGGCATGCAAGAGCTGTAGAAATAATTAAAATAAAATAATATAGCCACATTCCATTTCTTGGCAGTAGTCAATGTTTACTGGAAAATTTTCCTACTAATTCTCTGGGAAGAAGGTGAGGATATGTTACCATTATGATTTGAAAGTTTAGTTGTCTTGATATGGTATTATAATACGATGTTACGAGTATTCAGCAAAAGCTAATGCTTATACATAAATGGGGGAGCTAGTATTTTTTACCACATTCATTAATGCTTTCCCCCGGGAGGACAGAGACTTAACCTCTGTAGTCAGACATGGGCAGGTCTTAATCTCTTTTTGACCAATTGTGAAGCTTTTTTTATAATCCTATACTAATTACTCCTTAGAAATGGTGTTCCAGCATTCGTGAAATTGAGAAGATGGGTATGTCAGCAAAATTCAGAAGACATGCCCCTTCATCCTCAAACAGATGTATTAGAAATAGGCCTGGGCTTAATGTAGAGAATGAAAATGGCTGCAAAACCAACAGCTTTCAGCAGAGAAAACAGGTTAGATACAAAGATAGTTGATGACCTCCATCAACAGAAAAGTAATACATAGTAGCTGGAATCTTGCAAGCATTGTTTTTCTGGCCTGAATTTGCTGAGGGCAACAGGTTGGCAAGATGAAATATATGAAAATATAATTTATCCTTCACTTCCGTTCTTACAGTAGTTTGTACATAATCCTGCTGCTGCGCCTAAACATTAGGATGAACAAGGTAGGAAGTGAAGAGATGAAACATGCTACAACAATCAAGATCACTTCAAAGGGAAGCCAACAGTAGCTGTTGGTAAAGGTCTCTTCTTTCACTCAATTTCTGTTTTCCTTTTCTTCAGCTGAGACTGTTTCACCTCAGAGGAACAAAGGCTCTGGGCTCTGAGCCAAAAATATCTGGAACTGGAAGTTATCCTTCAGATTTTCTCTGCATAAAAGCAAAAAGTCCTGCTTTTAAAAGACTTAAGACTGAAATGGAATCACAAAATAAAATGGGAATTACATCTGTGGTGCATTTGGGCAGACAAAACTGTGTAATATAATGGATACTGAGTTCTACAAATGAGTCTGTTTTGATCAGGTGTCTAATTTCTGCCTGTCACACCAACCTGTGTTCAAATCAAATCTTTTTCATAAGTGGGAAGAACTAGTTTAGATGTGTCATTGCAAGGATGAAATGTTTATCAAATGAACATATTTAATTGCCTAAACAGTTCTCATGGTTAATCAGATACAGAGAATTTGTTGCCATCCTGCCACCTAGTTGAGTTATCTAGAAACAGTACTACTCATTTCCAGCCCTAGTCTTGGTTTTGGCTTCTTGCATAGCTTTTCAAGGAAGAAGGGCAATATTGTTTCTTCACCAGTGACATAAGTGCAGCATCATTGAGAGATAAATACTTCAATTTTTTAAAATGTATATATATATTTTAAACCAAAGGTGAATGGAAACTTCTGTGGTTTCTTTGACAGCTATCCGATGGGGATGAGGGTGTTTTTGTGCAGTACAATATTTAGTTGGTGTGTGGTGCAGCGATGGGGGAAGTCTATGAAGGAATTCATACTAAGCTCTTTCTTTACATAAAGAGTGGTCTTACTGAAAATTATTTGAAACAAAAAAAAAAAAAAGAAAACACTCTCTTTTTAGGACTGAGGATATGATTGGACTGCTATAAACCTGGTGTAAAAGAGTATCCTAAAAGGGAAACATTAAGTCCACTAGGGTGTTGCAAACCTATTCTCCTTTGCATAGCAGGAAAAAATTCAGCATATGTTTAGGGGACCAAGTGTTATATTTTCATGACACTAATCCTTTTGAGTATTTCAGGACCCATAATTATGGTATTGAAATTGAAGATGTGAAGGAAATCTTTTAAGTTTCTGATTCAGCAGTGTAAGAGGGAGGATTCACCCAATAGCCAATTGCAGCACTATTGATTTCTTTAAAAGTTTTGTAAAGGAGACTTCTAGCAGCATCCAGAGCATGGTTGTTGAGAAGTGTATACGTAAGTGTTGTCTCCGTGTGTATGAGCATCAAAATTGCTTTAGTGAGGTGAAAGGGAAATTTCATGCCTTGCAATGTCAAAACCAATTATATCAAAACCAATTTGTTTATCTGTTCTGTATTCTTTAAAGTATACATTTTTTAACTTTTCAATCAAAACACTTGTGTTCACGTAGCAGTTCTTCATTTCCGGTTCAATGAAGGAGCAGTTGGAATTTCCATCAAAAACTCTGTGTTCTTCATGATTTGTTCCTGTACCCCAGTTTGTAATTTCTGACACACATATTTTGCAAGCTGTTATTCACAATCAATGTAACTTAATGAAAATGCATAGACACAGGCATCTCTTGATGTCCTGGAAGACATCAAGCTGGAGGTAACGGGCAATGAAGATTAAATGTAGACAAATACAAACCAGGACCCAGAGATAAAATTAGTCTGTATTGCAAAAGAGAAATTTGGAAAACAAAATGTAAGGAAAAACTATTATGTGAAACTATCTAAATGAGAATTTGTGGGTAACAATGGTAGGGTGAAGTGATCTTGAAAGGTCCTGTCAAACCTTAATGATTATGTGATTATTATTTTTTTTCTTTTTTAAATTTGAATTTTAGGTTTGTGAGTTGGATCCTGAAGCTGATAGTTTTAATCTGGTTTCTTGGAGCTTCGCTAAGACTATTCAGTTCTGAACACTGAAGGTTATGACTGACCAGTTTGTAGAAATTAAGTGTGTTAAGTTTCTTGAAACCTTGTTTAGGGAAGTGGCAGAAACATGACTGCAATCTAATTCTAAAATGATAGGTGTAGCTAGTCCTTCTCTTAAACTGTTGTAAATTGCCAGCTTCCTTGATTTTAATATGCCAATGCCTTCTTCCAGAATGGTGACTTAATACCAATCTGTAAAATGACTTTTGGGATTTTTTTTTTGTTTTGTTTTGGGAAGTGTTCTTCCTACAAGATAATTTCTCAGTGGTAAATCCTCAGCTGGTAAGTTGTCATAATTCTCTTCCAATTCTACACCGAATGATTGCACTTAAGACAGTTAAGGACTGTCTGGAATAAAGAAAAGGTTTTTATACAAAATGCCTGTATTGCTGGATGATTCCTTAAAACAGTGATCTTTTTAGGCAAAACAAAGTAAACTAAAGAGAAGTGATAGGTGGAAAAAAGGCAAGGGAAAGAAGTATAGGGGAGTCCAGTGTTCTGATCTGATGTTTGCGTAACTAAAAACAGTGCTAAGTGCATCTGCAGTTCAGTAAATACTAAATCCTGTGTTCATTATTTCCAGTTTTAGCTTCTTTAGAGACCTGGATCCTTTCTGTCCTCTGCAAAAGAGGCTACTGTGTTTTTGGAAACAATGGGCTGTTTTCAGAACTTACATAATAAACATAACTTGTCTGAATTCTGCATCATTTGGGAATAAGTCCCAACATATAACTAATTAATTATCTCCCTCTCTCTCCCCTCCTTCCTCCTCCTTTTTTTTTTAAGCCTTGGAAGAAATCTGATTATGTGGTCAAATGTGATTTTTCAAGTGTGAATCTGGATTTAATTTGCAAACACATAATTTGCACAAACATAAATGCTTTGTAATATTTGGAAGAATCCAGTTAAATTTTGTATGGTTTTCTATATTCTGTCTCTTC